TGTGTGTGTGTTATTTCTCGAACATCATCACAACAAAGATAAGGTGTGTTTGTGTCGTGGTTGGTCCCCAATTTTGTCAATATAAATGAACTATAAACAACTGTCATACGAGTGGGAGGTTTCCTAGCTATAAAACGAGGTTTATCCCACCATTTTCTTCGGAAAATGTCTGTACCAAGTCAGAAAAATTGCACTTGTTTTTCACTAGTTCCATTGATTGAAAGCGTTTCATTTTGCAAGTTTTTATGGACTTTCGCTCTTTCAATTTGACTTGTAGTTCGGTATTTTTGTTATACTCTTTTGGTATAATCGGAATCCTAATTGTGGTGAAAATTACTTAAAAAGTACGCAATTTGAGAAAAACAGATCAATTTGGAATGTGTTATGTTTATCAACGCTTATCTGAAAATTATAAATAATAATAAATATATTGTGCAAAGCAAATTAATCAAAATGTTAAGAGTGTTATCATAATCTATTAAAGGAAGAGTACATGTACTGTTTTGATTCAGTAATATATAATCGCAGTGAAAGTAAAACTAAATATTCAAGTTAACACATGAAACCCCTAACTCGTTTCTAAACCTGTAAGCATTTTTTTTCTGCTGAAGTAAATCAGCATTTGATATTTGCATGACCATTAAAAAAACAATTAAATTACAAAATAAATCAGACATGCCAAAATTCCAATCTCTTAAAACCAAATGAATAGCGTTATAAAGTTGAATCTAGAATTAGGATTTCAAAAGCCAATACATTATTGTCAAAATAAATTGTGTCAAAGACCGTATATGTATAAAAAGAATGTAATACTTATTGTTCATATCTGAACTTATACGCGTTGCGCAACTTATTTTAATGCATGTGTAGTATATCATATAGAGGCAACCGCATTCTTGCTATATTACATTAAACATAGAAAAACATGTTTACCTGTTACCTATGTCAACACTTCAATAAGTAAACATTTACTGTATATACATAACATAAAAAAATGTCTATCAAATCTCTCACATGACTTATGTAAAAATCGAGGCAGATATTAACAGCTTAATTTAAATAAGTTTTTGTTTGAAATAAAACTGAATCAGAAGATATCTTTATTGAAACAACAGATAAAACGATAGCCAAAAGTAAAACGGCGAAAAAAAAATAAACGATATTTAACAAAACAACATGAAAATGCTTACGATGGAGCAACACAAACCCCACTACAAACTAGATGTGAACACACGTGCTCCGGTTCTAGGTGAGCAATTCCTGTTTTACTAGTGATAACAGTTGTATTGCGCATGGCTAGTGACCATTTTGTGATAACTTGCATTCAGTGATGTCAAAAGCATGGGATTGAGGATTGAAATGTGATTGTGACAAGAGGAACTAGTCAACTTGTTTATTATTATTTGGTGTTATTAATCTACATCTTTATGAACCATTTTTTTTAAAGTTTTTTTTACTCTTTTAGCCATGTTGTTATTTGTATTCATTCGACGAATAAGTTTTGATTGTTCACTTCAGTTTATTTTTTCTAATCACAGAACAGAGATCTTTTTTTTATTTTCAAATCTTTGTAACCTAAAAATATAGACATAAGTAAACCATTTGCTATGTAGTGATTTTCGTATTTTTTTTTTTTTTTTTTTTTTTTTTTTTCCATTAAAAGGAGATCTGGAACATGCGTAAGTGAAAAAGTAACCATAAGCATGAATAACGACACAATTGTTCATCTTTTTTTTTACTATGATGTTGACTTACAGATTTGTTTTGCTCAGTTGGTAGCTACCATATACTAAATATATAATTACAAGTAACCATCTCAAAATCGAATGATCTACCCTCTATTTTAAAATTTTCATTTAAAAATCCAGTCAGTCTATTGAACATTATAATTTTTTATAATTTCTGGCTTTTATCTTCTTCACTGCCTTAGCAAATGACATTGTATCTTTTTATAAGTTGTTTGTTGTGTTAGAAGTGACACACAGGATTTAGTTTTTTTTATAATTTCTAAAGTAATCTAATGGCATGAAACGCTGCCAATATACCTGCACAAGAGGCCAAAATCTAAAACCTGATTGGCCTGATGAGGATTTAATATAACCGAAAAGAATCACAAAGCAGTGTCCAATCCGGACATATAAAGAACGTTTTTTTAGGGCTATACATTTCTTAACTTCATATGATTTCCTATTTTTCATTCTTTTTTTAATAAAACTCTATCCGTATTTTTTTTTTTTTTTTGCTTCTACCAAGGTAAAGAGCTACAAGGTGGGTGATATTTTTTTTACTAACAGTCCATCAGCAGATGTGTCGAGCCACAGGTAGTAATAACATTAAGCATTTAAATTTTTATGCAATATTTTTGTTAAAACATGTCGAAGTATTGTTATTGTAATGTTTAAACATAATACAGATGGGTACGTAAAGCAAAATACCTAGTGTGACAACTCTATTGAAAAACAATACTAAATTGTGTACCAGTGACGGAACCAGGATTTGCAAAAGGGGGCAAAATATAAGGAGGAGTACAAAATCAGACAACATGTACTAAAAAATACACACGGTTGCATAAAAGGGGTTAGGGTGGTTTGGATATAGTTACGTGTTGACAAAGACGTGTGATTCTGTCACTTAAAATATTCGACGAAGAAGATTCTAAAACATAAGTGAAGCATAAAAAATAAAGTCTTTCATTTTACATGTAATTTCTGATTTTTTTTTTCACAAAGTAAAAATTTACCAAAATACTTGTTACAGTTCATGTTATTGCGTTTTATACTTATAAGTATGAAATTTTATATTAATACAGGTATAAGGTATATAACAAGTAAAGTTCCTGTTCAGTCAAGCTATTCAGAACAACCATCAGTTCAGTATATTAAGCCCCTCTTTCTCGCATATTGGAGAAGATTGGTAGATTTGTAATGCAAATATTGAGTATACCACTGCATGGAGTGTGATACGATAATTCTCAGCTTGAGACAATAACATTTTCAAATTAAAAACGCTACGCTTGCCGTGAGTTATGTTTATTTATCGAGAATTGAGAGATATCGTATTACACGAAATTCGGTACTAGGATCAAATGATTTTAAACGATAGGCACACTTTATCTTTCTTTTTTCAATATTCGGCAAAAGTATGTGTCGTTTCATGCTACAAGTCCGCTCTTAGTCATCACGTCACAATAGCGAAATAGAGTAAATCAAGAATATTCTACATCATGATTGAATTTTGACCAACAGAGAACTAAGATCAAACAAACAACAAGCTGATTTCAAAAAAGATTATCAACTGGTCGGGGAATGCACACATCGACTTAGATTTAGAGAACATAATTCAAACAATTGCTGTACCTGAAACGTCCTGATATTCTAACTTTACTTCAGATTAAGGATGTTTGCTAACCTTCTTAAAAATAAAAAGCTTCTGGAGAACTGTTATTAATAAATAGTATACATCTAATAGAACCGAAAAAGTAGGAAAAAAATGCAAGGTCCATGTCATCGTTCTTTTTATATACATTTTTTTTGTAAGCCATTGACAATTTGGCAGGAAATGATTCTCTATAGATTTTTCATACATTTAACATTGACACCTTTTTTTTGTTTCAAAATCTTTGACAAAATAGAACAGATTTTCTAAGATTTTCAAAAATTTTCTTTTTTTAACTGTATGGAATAAAACTATGAAATGAAAAAAAAAAAAGAGGTTTGCGGGCAAATTTTTTAATGACACTGCATCGATAAAACTAGAGGATTTCTAATATCTGACAAAAAGTCAAAATCCTGAGCAGCGTACATCTGTTACATCTGTGATTTCCAGGTACATCTTTGTTAAAAATTCCGATACATACAATACAAATGTATCAATGTTATATGGATAGCTTTGACCTAGTTACTCAAACGTAAGTTAAAATAGATATGGATTAATTTTGATAAAACATTTTCTGATATTCGAATCCCAAAATCAATCTGCAGAACAACCTGCAAACGATTAATACAATGATAAATAAGTTTAACATTTCCAGTTTTAATACTATATCACTACACAACACAATCTACTAACAGCTTTGATGAGTTCTAATTACAAAAAATACGTCAAGTAAAGTAGCCGAATATGAAAAGTATGAAATGGGAACAATATTTATGTTCCTCTTCTCATATGAATGTAATTATGTCAAATGTCTCTCCGAAGACTAAAGTCAATAAAGAAAGTAGCCGAATATGAAAAGTATGAAATGGTCAAAATATTTATATTCCTCTTCTCATATGAATGTTAATATGTCAAATGTCTCTCCGAAGACTAATTTATCAGTATATATGTATTTGATCTGTTATTTTTTTTTTTATTTCAATCGAATTACATACTTTATAAAGATTTTGTAGTTATAGATCTCATCACAACTATTTTCTTTAGGCAGCTAAGCAATAACATAGAGAAAGCTATAACTAATGTATACTTACTTATAAAAGCGGTTCATTCTTTTTCACCAAGACTGGATGTTAGAAGATTACCATTCCGTAAGATAAAAAGGTCGCGAAATCTATGGTTATATACGTATAAATATCGATATATAGGTTTAATGTCAAACTACTGCTATGTCATTATTGCATTTTAGATCAAAATGCTGGAATACACGCTGCTTGCTTTGCGCTAAGACTGGTAGCTTGCTTCAGTAACATCATTTTAATTTATTTTACATTTTAAAATTGATGTCCCACATATACGTGGAAAACCATAATTTACAGTAAGTAAATTGATTTGAGTAAGCAATATTGAAATAAAATCAGTACCTCATGTGTGGCATATTTTGTTTTCAATAATACTTGATTAACCTTGGATCAACAAAGATTTAGGTTAAAAATTGTACTGAGAATCATCTAAATCTGTTTTTGCTATTTTCAAACATAATACAGAAAAATGACGACACGTGTGACATCATATTCTATCGTTAAAAACTGTCGTATTTCCTGTTTGGTCTTAGCCATAAGACTCACGTGACCCATCGATCCATTCTTGTGCCTGTGATATTATGTTTGAAGGTCCGGATATTCCAGATAGAGAATGTTGGACCATGATAACTGGTGGCGCAGGGGTTGCTGCAAGAATTAAGATAATACGAACAGATATTAATTGGACTATATTAAAGAATAAAACAGATAAATAAAGATAATGTGACAATATATTAATTTAACTTTATTTACTTCGTACATTGATTTTCTGACATTGTGCTCTTTTAAAGATATAGTTTCATATATTAAAGAAAAAAACTACCTTGTTTCAAATTTACTATGAGTATGATAATTTGGTTATATCTCGGATGATATTTTCCCTATTTTTTACTCAAAGGTAAAAATCTTTATAAAGTCTGACGCTTTTGTTTGATCTGAACATTGTCGAAGTAGACAAATATAAAATTTGTCGCATACCATTTGATTTTTTGCAAATATTTGATATTTGTGATTTGATTTGGTATTTTAGAATGATTTTTTTCAATTGCTTTTTATTTCAAATGTAATTTGTTTTATCTCTTTGCGATAAAAAAATATGTTGTCTCCCAAAACTTAATTTAAAGTAACAGTTAACGTTTACTCCTGCATAAATACAAAATGTATGACCTAATGAACGCCGGTAATAGACATTTAACAACCAATTATACCACACATAGACAATAGATCACTCGATTGTCATTAAATTAACGATGTACTTCAAAGAAAATTTGATGGACGACATATATATCCGATTTTAGACATATACGACAGATATATACATTCATTGCCAAGAGTACAATGTAAGTAAAGATATACACCTGGGTGAATGGATTGTAATCGCGTTTGTAATTGTCCGTTTAATCGATTTTTTTTTTAAACATTCGTGTGAATTGAATTAATATAATCTGTGTTTCTCAGAAGCTTATAATATATTTATTAAAATGGTGGACACAAACGTGTAAGTGATTTTTAAGATTTATATCCCTCTACCTATGTCTAAACTTCTAAAAATAAAATAGTAAATTAATCACCTTTTGTTGTTGTTGGAGGTGTTGGTGGTTGAGTTGGTGGTTGTGTTGGTGGTTGCGTTCGTACTGGTACTGTCGGTGTTTGTTGTGTTGTTCTCGTTGTGGTGGGTGGTGGAGTTGTTGGTGTATTTGACACTTTTGGTTGTGTTGCAGGATTTGTAGAATGTGTCTTTGTAGATCCTACAATAATACGGAAAAATAAGCATTGGTTTTATATTTCAAATTTATTTTGTTTTGTGACCTTGAAAAGTTGTATTCCTGATTACTAAGCTATTCTTTGACTGTTTCCTATCACTGAACTTTGACAACTTTCAAATCTTCCTAGGTGAGCCAAATCGCAAAACAAAAATCAAAACAAGTAAGAAAAGTAAAATGAATACTAGTATTAACAATATGCAACGTGTATAAATTCAACATAATGTCCGCTGATCCACCAACAAACAAGCATGATAGTAATTTAGTACGATCTGCGTTCTATTTAAACTAAACAAACTTATCAAATCAGTACATATGGTACAAATGATACATATAGTTAATGAGCTGATCACAAATAAACATAACAAGAAAACACTTCGTCCTCGCACCAACATCGGTAATAACAGGTAGAAGCGAATCGTCCATACAGATCCCTTTTTTCAGGTTATTACAGTGAAGGAAAACCCAACATACAATCTTTATTTTTACCGTGTGAAAGAGTAGCGACTAGTAAATTCGAGGGCGATGACTTTTTTTTTAGATGAAAAACTTATAACAAAATCATGATTTTTTAACACAAAGTATACAGTTTATTCTATAAAACATCACACTCCCTGTATAGCAGTAACGCAGACAAAATAAATAAGGAGGAATACTATGACAATTGTATCATTACAACTCCTTTCTCTTATTTTTAAAGAAAACTTTCCAATATTTTATTGTTGTTTGGCGTCTCTATAACCAGCAGTTTAAATAAATAGGTTAATTGGTTGTTGCTTATTTAACGTTCAGTGGCAAATATGTCATGCATGTTCAGGACGAAAACTATTTGACAATAAATACAATATGTATTCCTGCAATAGAGGTCAACTGGGATGATATATGGGAAATTCGAATTGTCACTTAAAAAATTGGGTATATTGTATACGGACAGACACCTAACCTTGCAACAGGCCACCAACGGACCCCTCAAACATTATTGCAAGAGTTTTTAACGTGCTAAGAGTGTGGCACTCTCTATACACGAGGTATTGGATTTAACGTCCCCATTCTGACCAGACGTGACTGCGAATTTATAAACCCTGCACGGCCAAACAGATGCCCCACTTTGACAAGGGTTTTATTGACGGTCGGAAGAAGACCAAATGTGAAATTGAGAATGGAAATGGGGAATGTGTCAAAGAGACAACAACCCGACCAAAGAGCAGAAAACAGCCTAAGGCCACCAATGGGTCTTCAACACAGCGAGAAAATCCCGCACCCGGAAGCGGGATTCAGCTGGCTTCTAAACAAAAATGTGTACTTGTTAAATGAAAATGGACGTCACACTAAACTCCAAAACATATAAATGAACTAAAATTAAAAAAAACATACAAGACTAACAAAGGCCAGAGGCTCCTGACTTGGGACAGGCGCAAAAATGTGGCGAGGTTAAACATGTTTTGTGAGATCTCAACCCTCCTCCTATACATCTAGCCAATGTCGAATAAACAAACACACATCAATACGCACAGTAAAACTCAGTTTTAAAGAAGTCCGAGTCCGATGTCAGAATAGGTAACAAACGAAACTAAGCAAAATGACAATGATACATAAATTAACAAAGGACTACTAGCAGTTACTGACATGCCAGCTCCAGACCTCAATTAAACCGATAGAAAGATTATGTCTTCATCATATGCAAATCAAGCACAATCCCTCCCGTTAGGGGTTTAGTATCATACCATCATAAAATATATGAGAAGAACATAATCCGTATCATGCCAACAACTAGTTTAGAACAAAAGTGACCACATTTTCATTCCCCAGTCACGTTTAGGGTTTCCTGTAATAGGTATAGAACTTCTGAGCACTGCATATCATTACATCTCAGAAAAGTATATAAGTCACGCACATATCATGGAATATCGAAAACGATGATTTGCCAGAACATGACTACTAGTATTGAAAATATATTGTTCCACTATTATATAATATTACCTCTGGTTGTTTTTGTTGTAGCTGGCGACGATGTAAATCCGGGAACCACAGCTGGTGGTTGTCCATTTAATCTTGGTATTGGTGGCAATTCTGCTACACCTTAACACAGACATAATATTATTATTTTAATACATCATTTTATTTAATGGAATCTATATTTATTTTAGAAACTGGATTTTGAGAATATAGAAAAAAAATGCACAATAACACGGAAAATTTCAGATACACATTGTTAGCATATCAAATGAAATACTTATTTGCTACTTCAGGACTTATCGGTAAAATCGACCGTTTGAAAATCGTTTAAAGGTGATTTTTAGGCAATAGTTTGGTCAGTTATTTAAGTTTTGCTAACGTATGCTGGTGTTTTTTTATTTAGTATTGATACTATATATTTGATAGTCTGTGTGACAGCTATAAATAACATTCTAGACTTTGGACGCCAGAGAGATTTATATACTGCACTGGCATGTGTCTTTTGTTTAAGCCGGTATGTTGACCTGGAGATGTCTATGGTATTTAGTGTCGTTGTTTTGTTGCTTCATTGCTGTGTGTCCCTCGTTTCCTGATGCTTATTTTTAAATTTCGTATTCAGTAGAAAGTATTATTTCTGCATGCTTATTCTGTGTTTACAATTACACTCAACATTTTCCGATCCAACACTTTAGGATCAAGAAGGATGATGAAAACTAAGATGTCACAAACGAACAACACGAAAAGACAATGAAAAATCTACCTAGACTATAATAGAATCCATGTTGAAACAGATGTGCTGTTTATGTAATTATTCACAATAAACAGCAAAAGTACTGCTACAGTTTAGCTTCGTGTCTTAAAAGTGCAAATGTATTCATTTGACGAAACAAAATAGTCAACCTATGAAGTATTCTCTGAGTAGATATATTTGTAATGACCGAAGGTGAGAAAATCCTATTTGCACCTTTCACATTTACTGTGTTTCCGAAATTGTTGAGTGTTGATTTCTAAATTTTGGCAAAAAATTGATTGATTGATTGTTGGTTGCTTAAAGCCCAGTGGCAAATAGTTCATGCATATAAAGGACTGCCACTGGAAAATAAAGGTAAAGTGAGTAGGGACAGACACTTTGACTTGCAACAGGCCACCTACGGACCCCTCAAAGAGTTGTTCAAAGGGTTATGAACGTGCAGAGAGCGTGGCACTTTCTCGATACGAGGCATCGGATTTTACGTCCCAATTCTGACCGGACATGACTGTACACCCGTACAGCCAAACGGATTCCCCACTTTGGCAAGGGTTTTACTGCCGGTCGCAAGAAGACCATGAGTGACCATATTTCTATTCTCCAGTCATCCTTTGGGGATCGGTAAAACAATGTCTTTATTAAATCTTCTACCATGGGAGTATAATAGAACTCTTTGATTTTATCAATTGCTCTTTTAAGAGTTATCGTTTAGAATTCAATATTCATACAGGAAATAAATACACAATGTACATTTTTATCTTCAGTATACGTTGTTTGGGAGCTTTTCATATTAAATGATAATTGTTGTCTTTTGTTTTGTGTGGTTATGTGTGGTTTTATTTTTCGTAGGTTTTTTTTTCTGGAGGAGAGGAGTATTTGCTAATTTATCTTATTTCATTTTTTATCAATGTGGTTATGATTGTGTTATGGAAAAAGATCAACAAAAGTTCACTGACCTGGAAGTTCTACATTTGCCACTTTCCTGCCAGGTGCTTCACTTGTCTCCTTTCTGTCTACTGTAGGGTTGATTTTTAATAAGCCGTCTATTACAGATTATAACATACAATTATCAATCATTAAACATTTGTCTACCATAAATTCTTAACTATACTGAAAGTATTATCACCATTGTTTGTATACAGCAACACAATTAGGTATTGACTGTATCACTTTGTTACATGTGCAGTTACTGAAATGTTTTAGTGCAATGCATTTATGACATTTACTAAGAGTGACAGACTCGGTGATTTTTTACCTCAACACTTTATTTGAAAAGTCACAAATGCTGCCAAAAAAGGTGTGTTTGATATGTAAAGAGAACACTCATACACGAGTTAACTTGTAAGGGAATTTGATTGCGTACACGACTGAGACAGAGGATCGAAAATGCCTGACGAATTTGCAATTCTACCAGGTACTCAACCCTGTACACAATTAACGTGTATACAGAAATAGGTATTCTACATTTATACATCTTCTAAAACTTAGTTTATAAAATTTTGTTTTTGGAAACAGTGGTTCTGACTGTGAATTCAATAGTTTCCAAAACTCTTTATGTACTTATCTGATAATCATTGAATACAATGAGACCACTGTATTTTCAAATGATTGTTAATCGCATATGAATGAAAAGAGGTGTTGGATCGGGGAAACCATCGAACAGCACAAAAAAGAAAATGTTACTCTTTTATGTTGTTAGATTGCTTTCTCTTGATGTCAACCATTATCTTCATTGGCTTTCACCCAACACGTCCTTCCTTTCATACATAAATGGGCATAAATGCATTGCAGTTTACAGTTGAATATACAGAAGCATATCACAGTATGTATACAACAGTGTGTACAAACTTTAAGACGAATAGTGTTCAATTTTCTTGATTGCTAGATTACAATGTGCATTAAATCATACATTGTTTTAAACCTACTGTAAGAATAACAACAGTTAATGCAAAACAAAGAAATTATCATACGGGTAACAAAAAGATGACTGAAACACCTGTTTGACTTTTTGGTTTCTATAGTTACAAAAGCAATAGAGAATTTATGGTTCACTGACTTAACTTTGAAACACACTCAAATAGATCGGCTGTAACTTAAGTGAGCACAAACATGATCCCACATTCATGTACACGTATAACCTTGAGAGGTTTAAATATTACAATTTGACCTTTACACAAGTGTTATCATGTTGTGCACTCTCGCCCATACATATTCACTATTCACACGCAATATACGAGGGTCTGGATGTCTTCATATCTGTAATTTTTAGGCCATTTTTTTAATTTTTGCCAATCATTACCTATTCTTTTTGTTTTAGCACCCCATTTTTTTTTTATCTTTATCTTTTTGACCATTTGTTTCTTTTATTTATTGTTTTTGTGCATTAGTCCTTATTCTTTATATATAAACAACCGATTATCCTGTAGTCTTTCTTTCTTTTTTTTCTTTTCCCCCCTTTATTTTCTATTCTGTAATTCCTTATCCAGACCCTGATATTTTACAGGTGTATTTCCGAATATGTAATTAATGGAATAAACTTGGTTATGATTATTATGATAATATAATAGTAGTATGTGTCAAGATACTATATATAAACCAATTCTTCCCGGGTATATCATATACTTGTAATTAATACCTTTGTCTTGTTTATATCGGTGTATATAATGTTTAAACACATGTTTTTCATTTTTTTTTGTTACTTTTTTACGCTTTGGTCACTACTAAGAACCTTCACAAATGCAAGCAAGCTCCCAGTCTTTTTTTCTTAATTCTAGCTGCTATAAAAGTTTGAAGACATCGATGATCAAAACATGGCTTGGAATGACTGCAAGTTATTTGAATCAAAAGCCCAATGTTTTGTTTCAATCATTTTCTTTTAAACAGTAAAATTGTCTTAATATATAGAATATTGCTTAATTGAGTAAATCGCAAAAAATAGCAGCCAGAATTACAGCGCAAGCTCAGCATTCCAAAGGCAAAAATTATACAGCAAGCATGCACCCTTTACTGACCATATGCATACATTGCATATGACCACCCATAAGATAATATTCATTGTAACAACTTGCAGTATTAGCAGTAATGCTTCATGCCAAAATGTCATGCACCTGTACACAGAACACCGATAAATATAACATAACAGTATTATAAATATCTTATGTATTTATTTCACAAAGTACACATTTTTTCAATCATATAGAAATATATACAAAAACTTATAATGATAAATGTCTAGCATTATATAAACTCTATAACACATTTCAAAACCATATCATAATTGAAAATGAATGCAATAGCAAGAATGCGCTTGCGCCTATCCTACACCGGAAGTCTTACCAAAGGCCGACCAATCAATATGGTCACCAAATGGGATTGGTACACCTGTGAATAATGTCTAAATAATTTATCTTCTTTAAATTGTACTGTTTTAAAATTACTGACTTTTTCACGAATGAACGTTTTTCGCTGATCACAGGAATACAGTACATTTTATCAGTTTGCTTACACTATGTTCCAGAAGATCGAAACTAATTACTTACATATGCATGAGAATTTGATTTTTTTTTTTTACAAACATAAACAAGCAAAAAAAAAAAAAAAAAATTAAAACAAACCACTAAAGTACAAACGGATCAATAGTCAATCTGGAACACGCAAATTCATTTTTCTATAATTTAAAACTAGAATTAAATATGAATAGTGTTTACATTGTATTCAATCGTGTAAGCACGTCGAAATAATTGATAAGCATCTTTAATTTAAATAGAGAAAACAATTATAGTTATTACTAAAAAAAATTAAAAGGTTTGCGTCTGTACAATTCACAAGATTAACTAAGTTTACAAATAAAATTAAAAGTAAAAAAAATAATCAATATAAACTATTAAAACATTTAAATATCAATATTGAATATCAAGTTGTGATTATAATGTTGCATGGATCTTTCGTATAGTTTTTGTTATTTTCACCCTTTGTCTTAAAAAAACCACCCCAAAAATATCAACCGGAAGGAGTAAAGTAGGTGTATGTGTCGATATCAGATTCTTATGCAACAAGAGATTGCACATCAGTCACCGTCGTCGTGTAATAGAATTGTGTAATGTTCTTTTGATATGAAACACTCAACATCACCTTACCACCAATGTTAACCCAAAACCACAAATACAAATGTAAACTGAATCTTCTTATCATTGTCTCATCATTTCATAAATTTAAAAAATTTGAAAACAAAAATTATCTCAACTTAGTCAAACATATAGAAACAAAAACTTTAACAGAAAAGATAAGAAGATTCGGGTTCCAAATAATTTGATCTTAGTAAAAAGAAACACTCACCAGTCCCTGTCGAACCTAAACTGGCCTGCCACTGTATCTTTGAGCTCTTTGCTCCTTTTGTTTGACATGATACTGAAAAAAAAAATACTAATCGTTATTTATCCAATTCTTTATTATTAAAAAACAGTACCAATTAAAGATATAAGCATACGAATAACATGAAACATTATAAGATACAAGATATTGACAATACAGTATATAAACTTTTTAATTGATAATAATATCCTCTCTCCTTAGTTTTAAAGAAAAAGAGAGGCGGAAAATACCAATCGAAGACAAACTGGCAATGCCATAGCAAAAAACAAAAAAAAAAGATCTAAAAACAAACAACGGTATACAAAACACAACATAGACAACTATAGACTGAGGAACACAAACTCAACCTAAAAACCGGAGGTGATTGCAGGTGCTCCGGATGGGTTAGCAGATTCTGCTCAACATATGATAATGAGATTAATGGAAAAGAAATGATGTGGTGTAACAATTCATGACACACAATCACTACGCGCATATGCTAATAACCAAAGGCAAAGGAAGGACCCTTGTACTGTTGTTTTCTTCTCAAAATATGGTCACTTTCAGATTTAGACGGACCGTAGCACCTGTTTGAGTTTTAGAATGTTATTTATATATAAATATATCTATAAAGTATGAATTCTAATTGAACTTTTACATTTTTTTATTCTTTGATATTTCTTCAACTGTGAAAACTCACAAACTCAAAAATAAAAAAACACGTCCTGAAACATGTTTGAAACATTTTCCACTGAACGTTCAGCAAACAACAATCAATCAATCAAAACACAATTTAGCAGTGAACTTTTCTCCGTCCATTTTTGTGTACAATTCAAACTCTACAAACAAAATCTTCCCGATAGTAAATAAACTATTCAACAAGGCGTTTGTGTCTTTCCCATGGTCGTTCAATAACAGATAAGAAATCAATTTGACGTAATAAAGGGAGGTAACTTCGACTTTATTGTCGTTATGTCAACTAGATGATATAACCAATCTCTAATCTATGACATTTATTGATTTTTTTAAAAATGTTATGCATAAAAATACGATTATTTGTGTACAAAATCAACATAAATGTCTATAGATGTAGTAATAAATTAAATAAACATAAACGACACACATAAACAACAACAATAAAGTAGATAACCAAAATAGATACGATTAAACACAGAAACATAAGTATCTACCGGGGGTGGGAGGGGGCGCTAGAAGGGGATTCAAAAAGCAAAAATCATTGAACAAACAACATTATGCAAAAAGTATAAAGCCGATAAACAAGCTATTATCCACAAAACATTACGGACAAATCGTTGTGTTCTGCAAAACGATCTCGGCTCTACACTTTGGGCTCCAGAAGAGTATGCATTAAGTACCAATTTTTATGGGTATGAACAAAAAGAGATGTCGAGTAGATTTCAATGAGACAGGTACAAAGCACAAAAAAGTCTCAAATGGTCAAATGATAGAACTTAAAAAAGCAAATATACGGTATGGGTTTTTCTCATTGTTGTAGCCCGTATGTCTGCTATAGTTGATTACATCCACTTCATTTGAACTCTGGTGGATAGTTGTCTCATTAGCAATCATACCACACCTTTTTATTTTTATATAAATAAGATTTCTGAATTCGAAATTGATTTTTAAAAGTCCAAAAATAATAGTACATTCGAAGCATGTGGTCATTAGAGAGGGTGGTAAAGGGTTATATTCGTGCAACGTGTTTGCATTTTTTTTTTTATTTCAAGTGTTTTCGTGCCTGAAGTACATTATTCACCGTTTTTCCGGAAAAATTGATAAAAAAAAGCAACGTACAAGGTAATTTTATTTTTTTCGTTCGTCGTAATATTTCCCTTTCATCCGTAATCATACCCCACCCCCTTTATAACACTTATCAGAAAGTAGATTAAATTATTATCAATACTGGGAAAGTGGCGATAAAGACAGCATCTCTCGGTCAAACCAAAATTAGATGTGCACATGAATTAATTCATTGGATCATTAACCATACAAAAATATATATGCGTAACACAAAAATACCAACAAAAAAAATGAATAATAGAATATGATAAATAATATTGTCATGTACCGTCATAAATAATTCCATATTTATAACTTCAGTTGCTAAACGTGTTGTACATTTTCGTAAGACCAATGAGGTCAAAGGGAGGTGTCCTTCCTACATCTTTTTCTCACGTTACAGTGTAGCTCAAACACAACGTGTTGACAGATTCTAGATTTCAAAAACTCGTATATAAGTTTGTTTTATTTTGTCGGTTTCGATTTAGATTATTTTTTTCATTTGTACATGTATGATTGTGTTTTATCAGTCAGAAATACTTGGCTTGTGGTATCGAATTAAACATATAGGCGAGATATAAATCAGAGACTGTAAAACATCGATACAAAATAAAATAACAAAAATACCGAACTCCGAGGAAAATTCTAAACGGAAAGTCCCTAGGCAAATGGCAAACTCAAAAGCTCAAACACATCAAACGAATGGATTACAACTGTCATACACCTGACTTGGTACAGGCCTTTTCTTATGTAGAAAATGGTTGATTAAACCTGGTTTTATAGCTAGCTTAACCTCTCTCTTTTATGACAGTCGCATAAAATTCCATTATATTGGCAAATGACCAAAACCTATTGAGGTCAACATACAGTTTTCTACTTTAACTTGTTACTAGTTCTATGATACATCGATAGAATACCAGGCCATTCAATCATAAAAAAGTTTAGCACGATTTTTGTACAAACCCCTAGAAATCAACCATCCAAAATAATGGGTTTTGGTGTTCCGAGCACAAATTTTGTACACCGAAAGCTGAGTAAAGTTTTATGACAAAAAGGCCAGATGTCGTATAAGTAAAACACACACAAATAGATAGAATTATCTAGCTACCAACAGGATAAATATAACTTGATCAAGGACGGCACATAATTCGGAAAGAAGGTTAAACATAAACTCGAAACTAATTTGAAATCGGCAGTATTTGTTAAAGACCAATAAGTATTTAGTATTGTCAGATCATCGACAGAACGAACCAATTTAATCGGCTGGGTTGCCTGAAACTTTTATTCACTGGATAACTGTTGACCATTGAAAAAAAAAACATGCTGAATCAGTGTAATTTATCCAGTGGATAAGTTTTATCCAATAAGTCACCTGTTTTGAGTAACAAAGTTCATCTGAATTAGTTAATATATCGGGGAAGGGGCACCTCCTACATAAACAAGGTGATAGGACATGCGGCTGGAATAGGTCACTTTTCCCAGCTTGAAAATATGTGAATAGGTGGGGATAACTATCAGAAATATATCCTAAGGTAAATAAGGTTTCCATTACTTGTTATATGAAAAGACCTGTAATATTTTCTCGCCGTAAGTAAACATTACATTAGGAATATGAGCCTCAGATCTGAGCTCCGAGCAAAGGTGATATTTTCTCGATTATGCCGAAATGTGATTCTCGTCCGCTGCTGGACCCATAAAAAATGAAAACAACACGTTATTAATTTAATGCGTCCGAAGCGCTTTTCTGGATTTACCTTCAACAGGAACGCTCAAAGCCGACTATTTGAAAGCCAAGGATGTGTAAGAACCGAAACAGTTGAAGAGCTTTATGACCAAAAGTAGCTAAAAAATAGCCAAATTCATCTAAGGTCAACTTTGCTTGAGGGAGTTGAAACCTCAGTTTCTTTAAAATTTCAAAATTTATAGACAGATAATTTTAGAAAATTCGTTATAAATCATGTCAGTAAAGAAGTACTGACTACTAAGCTGATGATACCCTCGGGGACTAATAGTCTACCAGCAGAGGTATCGACCCAGTACTGTAAAAATGACCATAAGATATGGGAAAAGGTTACATTTTTACATGCGCAATATATGAAAAGGTAAACATTTTTAAAATCTAAATTATATGGAAAGGGTGTGGAATTGAACCCCAGTGGCACCCTCTATCAATTAAGTATTGAAGTACCACCCCCACCACCTCTTTTAGGTTAATATAGCACCGGTTTAGTACTTGCTATAACTAAATTTGCATAGGCAGGATTTAAATTATCTTTCTATAGTATGGCATTATCACTATAATCATCTCTGAAATAGGACTTTTATTAAGAAATTGATAGATCTTAGTTCACATATTTACGTGCATTTATAATTGTACATAAACAGCCGTAGGAAACATCCTCCTTGTTACTTGTTCAATTATTTGTAAAATTAATTATTCTTTCTCTGCAGATCACTGTAGCTATTCATTTTTACATAACTACAATAAATAACCGTCCAATACTTGTAAGATTTTGTCTCGATCGGTCACGTTGTCATGTTATTAACTGACACAAAATATAATAATTAACTATATACATGTGACATGAATCAGAAAATTTGATGACGCAAAAAATAAGAAAAAAGAAAAAAAGTTTTCAATAAGATTTGTGATTGTTAATTATTAATGCACATTTTATGTTCATGGATTTTCCTTTGGAGACTTTATCTGTCCTTACGTGATACATTTCTCTAAGGTCGACTGAACACATTTGATATGTCTTGGTAATGGTTAAAACTGCTTTCAAAAACAACATTTCACCTTTAGCGTTATTTTACAGCTGTATTTTTATTAATCGTCCTAACTATACGCGTTTTCCATAGTTCTACTAACGCTGGTCGGATAAATGATGAGTACCTTTATGACGTCACAAATATACTGTTTTAAAGGCATAGATCAAGTCCTTTTGTAGTACCAATTTTTCTTATTTATTTTTGTTCGGGGAGAAAAATGGGGGAGGGTTAAGGGCAATAGACAAAACATGAAGTGGATTACAATATATTTCTCTTTAACATACCACTGACTGACAAGGCTATTTATGTCGTATGATCTTAAGCCTTTTATAAAGATGCTTTTAGTCGTAATTAAAAAGAAACTTCCACATGGAAACTTCCGTGATTTTTAGAAACATTTATTGGTAAATAAAAGGAAATATTCGCCATTTTTAGGTTTAAGCAGTAACTCTTATTGTGTTTCACCTACAAACAATTTATTTTTGTCACTCACGGTTTCAAAATTTTTCTACAGATTTACAAATAGACTACTAACATTTGAATAATTTAACAAGATACAGATATGGCAACTTTTTGACTTCGTTCATGAAGAAATGTCTGTTACCAGCGAAACAAATAGCCATACCTATTTGCGACGTTCGAAGAAACGACACAATAAAAGATAACTATGATAGACAGCAACCTACGACAACCACTAAATTGCAGGCTGCTGAATTGAGGACAGGCACAAAAGGAGTGTGGGTTGTGTTCGTAAATTTCCTTGTCGAGAAATATTTAGACCTCAGATTTAGACTTATATTTCCGGTGAAATGTAATGTTTGTCTCATGCGTAATCGAAATTGTCTGAATATCTCTATGACCACAATTACTAATTGAGGCATTGACATATCTAAACTTGACTAACGATACATTAATATCTGGTGCATCATTTGCCTTTATTTAAACGTCACTTTCTCTCATTAATACATGTTAGGTCGTCAATAAAACTACATCTTATTGTCATTACGTCGTAGGTCTAACCGGGGACTTCAAGATTGATACATGGTATAGAGAGGTAGGATACATCAAAGTGTTCGTCGGTATGATACGTAGAATATAAGTGTCATGTTTATATCAAGTGTTATATACTGATGTTACACCATGTCCATAAATGTCATCAAATGCCAAAAATGACCTCATAAGATCAACTTACACGTCTCTTTCCCCGAGTAAATCGTTGTGTGAAATTTATTAATGTGACAGACTGTAAGTTGTTAATGTGAATAAAATAGATGCGGGATATACGTTAATGGGACAACAACCCAACAGTAAAAATAACCTAACGACATTTAGAGGCCAACGTACAATCTTCAATTATAGACAGGTGTCCGTACATTTCAACGGACTAAATCGTCCCGAATCTATAAAAGATATGACTAAAATAATCAGAAACAACTGAAAATCAACTCCAAATTCTCAAAATAATAAAAGAACATCCATATGACCAGAGACATACCATCCACAATGTTCCAGATTTGGGACAAGATCATGCATATCCTTTAACCTCTTCTAGCTAATAAGTATACACCTGGTAATGTTGTTTTGCTCTATCTTCTATTGAAATTAAGGAATCTCTATATACGTGTACACACCACGGGATTAAGGAAGCTCTACATACGTGTACACACCACGGAATTAAGGAATCTCTATATGCGTGTACACACCACAGAAGGGGAAATGCGATTTCCCAAATTATTTTTTTTTTTTTCAACTTTTAACTATACCGATTAAAACTTTTCTTATTTATATGCACAATCCTCGTGTGATGTTCATAGAAAATTGAAATAGACAAACAAAATCATAAAAAAAAACCCTAACGGGAAATTTTATATGCTTTCCAGAAAAAATATGATTTAGATAGTGAGTGCATAACATTTTCTGAAGTTACCTCTTTAAGCATCAAATTAGATACTCGACAGAATATCCATGAACTATTTGCCACTGGACATTACACAAATTACAGTTTATCGAATTCGTTACGCTTCCTTTAATTATAAAAAATCGAGAGAATTAACTAGTTATGTTATTTCATTATTTTGATTAAGTGCGGGTCTCTCGGTGGGCGAGTGGTCTCAGTATTTCGTTAACAGTGATCACTGGCCTTTCAACACTGCGGTTGTGAGATCGAACCTGGCTCGTGACAAGGTGCATTCGACTTGGACCTTAATTGACTGGAGTTGTCAGTTTTTCTCCCGAATGTCGGTCGTTCTATGCGGGCACCTAATCTTCCTCCACAGATAAAATATAATCGCCATTACATAGCCAAAAGTGCTTACATTGACGTTAAACACAGCAATCAATCAATCAATTAGTTAACTATATTATTTGCATATACGTATATAGGTAGTACGTGTCGGTCGTTCCACATAATTAGCCTGGTTTTAAAGAAATTGTATGATTGTTAACCGTAAATCAGTTTGAAATATTCAAATCGCTATGCAAATCAATTATCACAAAATCAGTGGCTGATTCCGAGGGGTTCTAGAGGGCGTGCGCTCCTCTTCTTTTGATCTGAGAAAACTGGCATGAAACCGATCAAAAAATTGTTGTATTCTGTTTTCTACAATAACGCACACCTTTTCACAAATCATGGAGCCGCCACTAAAATAGTCTTAAAAGTTTATCGGTATTTTTTTTCAGCTAATACTAAGTCTTAATCAAGTATAGTATGTACAAATATATTCTCTCTTTGCATTTCTATATCTCGTCTAGATCGAGATTTCTTGCGCTGACGCTAAGCAATCACCAATGAATCAACCTTGTATACATTTAAAGAGATCTTTTGCTACCGATATCAATAAAATTAGAAAATATGTATGTTTTTTTTATTTCTTCTAAGAAAATTAATTTATTACACTTACCAAAGATGACTGAATCTGAAAATAATGAAAAACGTATTAAGATAAAAAAAAAAACCAGTAACTTCATTTTTTTTTAAACCACTACATTATAAAACAAAATGTTGCAAAAAAAACCGACTTCGGTTCAACTATGCTTCATTTACGATTTGTCAAAAAAAGGAACAAAAGTGGTCTTTAAGAAATATTGAATCAGTTAAACATCAGGACATTTATAAATACATTTGTAAACTGATATTAAAATTTTCCGTTTTTTATATGTTAAATATATAATAGAACGGAATAATGGTAAGATGAAGAACAGAAATGTAAACTTTGATTTTGGGTTAAAATGTTGTTTTCATTTTTTCCTTCTCAAACATTTTTTATTTTCTAAATTTCTGAAAATTTCAGAGTAGTTCAGTCTTTCAAATACTAACACATAACAGATAATAAACTTACTTGTGAAAAATAAAAATACAAAAATCCTCATTTTCTGTACAATTGTTATATCCTATCTAATAAGCTAATAATCCTCAATTAATATGTCCAATCCGTATAAATAAGTTCTCTTTTTTATTTTCCCAGAAAATTAAACAGCCCTTCGTCCATACCACCTTACTAAAATAACAATCGCATATCAATCAAAATTGCGGTCCTCATCCAAGGTAGATAATCCAGAATTGTTCGCGGTTTTTTTTTTCTGTTTCAGTACTTATTTCTACTATGATATTTATCGCAAAACTTTTAAAATCTAATACTTGAGAAATATATATAACTTCACTCAGGTGCGATGTGTACAGTTACTGCGTATGTAAAAAGAAGATTATGACGAGGATACATAAAAACGGATATTTACACAATTTTGGTATTGTTACTTTATTTTGACCAGAGGGTAAATAGCCAACACGTTGTTGTCGTTAAAATTATTTCTGATATATGGTCATGTCATTAACTGTCAAATATTTTTTTCTCGATACAGAAAGATACATATAAACCGTCAAAATGATCTTTGTTTTATCGTTTCCCTCCAAATATGTACGTTTTTTTATACATCATGTGGCAAGTCAGAGATGAACATGGTAAGGTAATCCCTATGAGTTCAGCTTATAATATGACAGTGAACGTGTTTAATTAGTCATTAATACACTGAGATTATTATTTTAACCAATTGTATTGCTTAAACACGGATTAAAACCCACTTTCTATAATATTATCCAGAAAATATTTTATACGACAAATTTTATATTTCCCTAAATGTTCTTATCTCAGAAGTTCTTGCGATCTTTGCAAAAACAAATGTATATAATTGTAAATATTGGTCAAACTTAAACAATACAATAGTTCACGCAAAACTAAACCAAATACGATGGGAAATATTTATAATTAAGTAAAAATACTTTCGCCAGTAAAGTTAATAAGTTATTTAAAAACGACAAATTTTTTTTTTAAGGAAAACCCTTACTTGATTGAAAAAGGGAACATCTGGAGAAAAAAAAATTAAAAGAGTTCTAACGCCTCAAATCACATCAACACGTGTTCGTCCTAATATGAATGTAACATTTGCCACTGGACGTTAAACACTAATCCATCAATCAATCAATCCATCACATGTACATTAACATGTTTGATCTAAGTGTACAAACACCTTCTTCACCGAATAAATTGATAAATACGTCATTGGGACAGTAACCCAACAACAAAAATAACAAAAAGACAATTACAGGGCAACATAGAGTCTTCAACCAATATACAGATGTCAATATGGGATATAAAGCTTTAATCGTTCCCTAGTATATAAAAGTATATAAAAGTTGAGAATAAATTTAGCAGAAACTAACCAAGATCTGTCATGAATTTAATACTAAAAATTCCAAATAACAAAAAGACAAAGGTACAAATTTACGACAAAAGACAAACGCTGACAAGGTTTTCTACCTGAGACAGACATATAAAAAAGCATTGAAGTTAACTTGGTTTTTTTTTAGATATCAACCCTTCTCTTTTTAATATTGTTCAGTAGACTAACACGGGGTACTATGCATACAAGAATATAGTAACACAACAAGAGCGCACACGCTGAAATGTCTCGTCTGCTTTACTGATCATGAATGAATTCATATTGAAAGTCTTTAAGAGAAAGGTTTTACTACACGTGTCACATAAACGTGACATTACCAATGATCCGTGTAAATGAGGTCAAGGTCAGATGAACTTTGTCAGGCGCACATGTACATCTTACAATAATTCCATACATAAAACATAGTAAACCTAGTTATTATAATATCTGAGAACTAGACCTACATGTAACCACGAACACTAACATTGGCCAATGAACATGTGTACAATGAAAATGGGGTCAAGGTCAGATAAACTTACCAGATGGACATGTAAACTATACAATAATTTCATACAATAAAAGTAATGAATATATTATGTCTCCGAGCAAAAACTTAAATTTTTAGATGTGTATAATATGTTTATAAAAGAAATACTAAGGGTTATGAATGAAAACAGTATCTCAAAATGAATTTTTCATTAATTTAAAAAGATTGATATAATAGAAAAAAACATTTATATTTTATTATATTCTGAGTATTGTCCTGGATACTCAGAAAGTATTTCACAGGGATACTTTATTGGAGCTTGGGTTTCTCATTGTTGAAGGCCGTAAGGTTGCCTATAATTGCTTACATTCACTTCATTTTAACTTTGATGGATTTTCGTCTCATTGGCAAATCATACCACATCTCCTTATTTTTTCTATATATGTACACCGTACAATCTTTCCATACACCAGACATACATAACCAATTTCTTATAGTATCTGCGAAGTAGACCTAACTATGCAAACTTAACTTTAGCCTACATGTATTAACTATTTAAGTGAGGTCAAGTTCAGATAAACCCTGTAGCAGTAAGGTATGAACACCTTATAATCATCTTTCACACTAGTATATTAGTTGACATATTGCTTAAAGTATCCGAGAAATGGACCAAACTCAGAAAACCTAACATTGACCAATGAACCATTAGAATGAGGTTACTGTCAGATTATCACTTCAAGACATACAAGTAAACCTAACAATAATTCCATGAACCAAATATAGTTGACCTTCTGCTTAAAAGTATCCGAGAACGGACCTAATCACATACACTTAACCTTAATCACCGATCCATGAAATCGGGTCATGGTCAGGGAAACCCTCTCTGGCGGACAATGTCGACTTAATAAGTGAGAAATTTCTATGACAAAAAAAATATACAGTATATTCAAGCTGTTGTGGGACCACGTAACACAGTCAATGCATTGGACTTATGAAATACAGAAACTTCAACATCTATTTACATTTTGTACAAGGTATGCATTACCTATGTCTTCTTTCTTCTGAAATATAAAGCTTTTATACAAAATAGTTTACTCCATCACCGTCGCCGTCGGCGCAGCCGCCGTATTATGGTCCCTATGTCTCGAACTCTGCGACTTTCATCGAAGGCCAGACAAAACCCAGGACGGGAAAAACATAAATATTGCTTTGAAAGATAGCATATACATTTACACAAGTATAAAAAGAAAAAAAAAAGGATATATTATGCCACATCAAAGATGCTCGGAGTTATTTAAAGCAAGCTCAAAGTATTTAACTTGATGATGTGATATCATGCCGTACTAAATTCTGATCTTTTATAAACAAACAAAAATCAATAATTTGTTAGCTGTGTTTTCCCTCACAGTTAACATAATGTACAAAGTAAACAAAATGGACATGATCTTTTTTTTTCTAAAGGACACTTAAAAATTCTAGTATTGATGTTTTTCATCTTCAAATTTCCAATTATTTTAATAGCAGTTAAATAATTGAAAAAAAAAAATAGAAATAAGAAGAATGACTTGCCGAGTTGTTAATTATTCATGTTTTAAGATTAACTATCTAGGATATTCCTTGAGAAGGTTTTATATTTTGGAATATTCTCTACCATATAGCTGAAAAGATGAGATTTGTTGGGATTTTCACATGGCAATGCATTTCAATGACGATTGCAGGTAAACGGAAAATTCAGTTATTATATACTTTTCGATCGTAAGGTTGTTTTTATTATTGTGTTTTAATTCATGTAATCTAGTATGTTTTCTTTGTTTTTCGTAAATGCTTGTCATAATCAAGTATAGTGTTGAATTGCCGGAGGTTATGTTGGCAAGAAAAGAACAAACAAAAAACACACAAAAAAAACCGTATAAAAAACAAAAAAAAAACAAACAAAAAACAAACGTATTTCTTTCGAGTGTCTTTTTCAGAAATATTTGTGGACAACTTGTAAAAGCACCTTCGGATTTCAGTTTTCAGTGAATTTCAATGATGTGTTTGACATAATCAAAGTTTCCTGCAGGCCATATTGCATGTTTTCCCTAATCTTTTACTTTCAAATTGTACGATATATTGCCAAAACAGATTAAACTTTCGGATCTTGTAATGTAAAACATTTGATTTTATTTTTAGAAATTTAAAGTTTTAAATTGTTCTCATTGTATAAATACACATTCTATTACACAACCCTGTTGATTACGATACGTACCCATCGATCGAGAAAGTTAACGTTTGAAACTTTAAGTGAGTCCGAGCATTTTAAAATTTAAAATTTTGCTATCAAAAATGAATAGATATTGAAGTTAGAGGGGTAAAATATGTTTACCTAAAAATTTAATGAAAAATGCTGAATGCAATTCATCGGATGGATATATGGCGCGAATTTACACGAGAAATATCGTATCTACGGGTGGTTTATCAAAGCTTGTCAGACTGGCCAGAACTGGTTTAAATGCATATATCGTATCTTTTATGTTTGTGGCCTGTTTATATTTCCCGTATAAATAGATATGTCTCGTATCACAATGAATTGAATAACTGATACGAAAAATGCATTAATTTGGATGGCCTATCCTGCAACGGGTTACAAAATTGCGACATTTCCATTGGCTATTTGTAAAGTCAATGAGGACTCTCAACGGTTACAACGAAAAACTCGTCCACCTTGGCAACGGAGATATGTGATACAAATAATGATACAAAACACTCTCATGGTTCATTTGAAAAAAGTCTTTTTGTCAAATCTATTTCATTCTAAAGCGTACACGAAGTTTGAAAATGTGTAATGGCATCTTATTATTTATTTGTTAAAGACAAGAACACTCATTTAGTTTCGCGGGATTTTCATTATAAAAGATATAAGCTCAACAACTTGTGAGAGTTCGATTTCGTATGCATGTCAAATTTCAATATTTAATTTCATTGATAATAAAAAAGTTTTTAACTTGCCAAAGGCTCGTTTATCATTTTATTAAACAACTGTAGTTCATATCAAGCAATATCCAATTATCCCTTGACATGAAACATAAAACTATCATTGGATGAAGTGTTACATATTGTATTTGCCCTGATATATGTAGAATTGAGAAGATTAGGCCAATTAAAATTAATTGATAGATTTTCATACCCGCCCGCCCCTCTGAAATCGTCCCGCCCAGATTTTTTTTATTTTTAAAGATTTACGATTTCCGGATTTTGTTCATTGACGTTACCGGTAACCGCCTATAATTTCGTTTCATTCAAAACTTCCTGTTTCAAATTTCGGTTATCGTATTTCTTCGAGTAATATAACCAAAATAATTAAGTCGACATATTCTGCTGCTTAATGATGACAACATTATCTTCTGAGAATATAGATTGATTAGTCGAAGGGCATGGAATATTCGGTTTACGAATAATAGGCGGTGTCTAAGAACGCTAATCGCCGTATGTTACAAATTTCAGTGATAATAAAACCGTGGATTTTTTTATTTATACAATGACTTTGTGACAGGAAATTTGGACTGTGAATGATAACCAAAGCGCAAGAATCGTGGAATACATTGGTACAAAAACCAGAGTCAAAAGCATGACTGGAATAAAGTAATTGACACAAGCACGAACTTGTGCGATTTATTACCGTATATTGAGCACAAAGAGTCGGCCAACGTACAATATGTATTATAGCAAGCCCTTAGATTAACCCCAAGGCTGTCGTTTTTGTTGACAAACAGCAAACACCATCTGTCCCCATTCCATTAATAGAGTCATTAAAAAAACTTTCTCTTTTTGGTTCAGTTAATTTTTTACATTGTAATTATATTTGCACCTTGCATGAGAATCTTCAAAGGATCAACCCTAGTATTTTCAACACAGTTTGAGTTATCATTTCACTCTGTACTCATAATAATTGTGTTGAATACTAATGCATATTTGCTTCAGAAAAATAAATTTGATGTAGGTAGTCTTAAAGAGAACATTTCTCCACGTTTTTTGCTATTTATTAAAAAAAGGTTTCTAAAGCGGCCATTACACGTAGAACAGTGGTTGCCAATCAGAAATATTATTTTAAGAATTTGAAAATAATGTAGAATTCCTTATGTATACATGATATAAGCCTATTATTACCCTTGTATATGAACAACACGTTACATTTTTTTGTACAAAAGGGTTAAGGAGGAAATAAGAATTAAAAAATAAAATCCTCCCACCCGCTCCCCTCTTTTCAAAAATCTGGATGAAAATCTACTAATTAATTTTAGTTGGCCTTAATAAGTCTCTAATTTTTTCAGACATTGTTTTGATTAATCTCCTTTTTGAATGCATGCATATGCTCACTTCATGTATTTGATGGATAACAATCATTTGACCCTTCCCCTTTGCATTCTTACCCACGGGGGGTGTGGGTCTCTTCTTATATGAAGGTATATACATATGTGCCGCTGGAATGGGTCCCTTTTTTGATACGTCAAATATATCAATAGAGTACAATTTTACCGAGGAAATATATCAATAAGTAGTAATTGACCAATTGTGATATATCAATGGGTCATAATTTTTCAGTTTTTTGTGCAACGATCTTCACTGAATTTCCCAAACTCTTTATATAGATACATGTATAGGTAGGGATTTCACAATTATTCAATATATGAAAGGGGGGTGTTTTTTTAAATCCCAGCTGCACAACTGTACCCAAAATCCAATGTTGAGACCCCCGTGTTCTTACCCAACACGTAAAGCACATTTTGAATCTACAAAAAGAGGCGGATGATACCAAAGTGGAAATTAAAACACCAAAGTGAAAGAGGGACTAACAAAATCATGGTAAAAAACGAAGAAAAGACAAACAAAAGTCTACAAAACACTGCATACAAACTATACTGAGCAACGCGAACCCCATCAAACACCGGGGCTAATCTCAGTTGCAGTTGATAAATATCTCCCAATGCTTGTTCATGGATATGATAGTATTTTTTTACCAACGAGAGTCTGACATTTCCCAGTCTTGCATTCTTACCGATGTTTGATTATTTTTCTCACCGTTTCAAGATTAAAATGAGTATACAACAAATTTTTAGAAATCCCTAAAGCAATTTGCAAGACCCTTGCACATTTACTTGTGAGTTTGAATCCCTTGGGTATCTATCGCTTCTCTTTTTCCCTTTGTAAAACACCACATGCATAGGACAATCAGAAATACGAAGTCCCGATTTAGAGGACAAACTAAAAAACAAAGTATATTTTAGTGTAATTCAAAAACATGAAGGTCATCGCTTGTCACTAATCAGTTCTTTTTTTTTCTTAGTTTGTTATTGTAATTTACGGAATTTTATGTTAATGTCAGCTCTTTGGTGGTCTCTGATAAATTATTTATATTTTTTTCGTGACTCGGGATTAACCTTGTATGATGGAAATCTTAAATAGCATTTAATTCAAATCATTTGTTTGTTGGTAGTGATGCGCTTGTTTTATCCTTTGTAATTGATGTAGATGAGAAAAAGTATTTTTCTTGAATAAGAAATGACCGGCAACAGAATTCGTATATGAGGGTCTGAATGGGGTTTTCAGAATAGAACATGGTTAATTTGTTTTAAAAGTCAGCATAAGCCAGGGTAAGGTATTTAATTTTGACATGAAATGGCTATCACTTATTCAAACATAATACAACGAAGCCAGGCATGCTTGAAATTGGTGAATTTAACATGATAGAAAGCAATGAAATAATCTGATATAATCAAACTTGTCAGAATCAAAAGGAAATGAGGTTGGGTCAATTTTATCGATTTTATTGGAAGTGTTTTCTGAAAGTCCTTCAATCTTTACTATCGATTTTATTGGAAGTGTTTTCTGAAAGTCCTTCAATCTTTACTATCGATTTTATTGGAAGTGTTTTATACATATATTGTCTTTCAGATAAAATTATTTTTTCGTGTAAATGATTTCTTTCCATACAAAATTTAACAAAAACTCTGATCTGTACTTAGTGTCTTTTATATGTAGGGATGTATAAGTACCCGGCCACGTCCACTCTGTGTATGTTTACTTGTTTTTGTCCTTTGTATGAGTTAAGCCCTTTTCAACTGATTTTTATAGTTTGTTCGTATGTTGTACTGTTACACCACTGTCCCAGGTTAAGGGGAAGGTTGTGCGCCCGCTAACAATTTTAATCTCCGCCACATTTTGTATGTGCCTATCCCAAGTCAGGAGCCTGTAACTCACTGATTGTCGTTTGTTGCTGTGTTACATATTTGTTTTTCGTTCATTACTTTGTACATAAATTAGGCCATTAGTTTTATCGTTTCAATACTTTTACCGTTGTCATTCCGGGACTTTTATTGCTGACTATGTGATATGGGTTTTACTTATTGTTGAAGGCCGTACGGTGACCTATAGTTGTTAATTTCTGTGTCATTTGGTCTATTGTGGAGATATGTCTTATTGGCAATCATACCACATCTTCTATTTAATATAAAGCCACAGTGTTGCATATTTCTTCATGTTTACAGGAAAGAAGCCAAATAAATCTGATTTTTGAAATTATTACATATTGTTAAAAGCAGACTTTAACATTACCTGTCGTTGATGTTCGAATGCTGGACATTCCATCAGATGATGGATTTCATTTTCAATTAAATTTAAGGAACAAAATTCGCAAATTCTTTTATCTTTGTCAATCTTTCTATAGCGACCCTGCTTAAAAGATAATTTATGAGCACTTATTCTCATTTGTGAGAGCTGTTTTCTAGTTAAAAATTCTTTACAACATTTAGATATTATTAAGTCTGTCTTTTGAAAAATGTTCTAAAATTTGAAATAAGTTCGTAATTTACCTTTTTTCACTGTAGCATTCTGTAAAAGATTAGATTTGAAATTCATTGCATAAATCTCTTAATTAAAACATCATTCATCTCATTAACATTGAAATTATTCATATCTATACATTCAGCTGTAATGTAGCATATATGGGCGTTTTTAAAAAAAATGTCCGCTTTCTCCGTCCAGGGCTTAAATTTTAATAAAATCATAGATACTTTTTTTTTTTTATCTCAGTCTTATTATTGTACTTATCAAAGACAGCGGCAACATTTGTGTCTGCTTTGTGGTAATGACTCTTTCATAGGGGACATATTTGGTTATGCAGTGGACATTTGTGAATTTTTTTAAAAACGGCTTGTAATATTTTCTAGTAGCAAATTGCAAATCAAACAATTAAACCATTTAGAATCATTTATTATGTCAGATTCTTGAAGAAACAATACCTTAACATTGTTCTAAAAACTTCTAATTTTTTAGCATGGTAGAGACTAAAAGTGCTAAGGGGACATCTTTGTACACCATGTTCCCTTTTACATAGCTGTTGTCAAACTTACCGTTCAGTTTAAGGTTGCATATTTTGTTTTTAGTTTATACTGATATTAGAGTATTGACATGTACAATTAAATTTTTTTTCAACATTTTTGTTTCATTTTCCAGTAATCAAAAATGGACATTTTTTTTTAAAAACGTCCACATACATCTATTTGTCTAGAACATGAATGAAATATTTGCCACTGGAAGGTAAGTAACCAACAATTAACCATCGATATATATATCTAGTAAGTTAATAATACGTCTACCTTAAATGTGTAATATCGCGATGGTAATATTATCCAATTTCTATATAAAAATAGACAATTTCATTTCCATAAGTACATGTATATGTTACATCTTCACTTCTTACGTATAATGTATATTATTAATGTCGCCGGGGTGTTTTTCTCTATAACAGAGTTACCTAGCCTAATAAAGCATGTGAATGTTACAACCCCACGAATGTACCAGCCTATCGCATTATCAGACTACTACATTGATTACCCGGATGACGAGACGCTGACATTCAAGGTCAAAGTATGGGCAGATGCGATTGTTGTGCTTGTTCCAGATGAAGGATTTTCTTCCCTGTTCTATGAAGTTGTTATCGGTGGAGGTGGCAACTCTAGAGGTTTCATACGTAAAAGGACGTTATCTAATTTAAATACGAAAGTTAATGTACTTGAAGGTATGTGCAATATAAAACAAGTAAATTGATTGATTGGTGTTTATATTATCGCCACTTATAACACTATTGGCTATTTCGTGGCGGTCAGTTTGTATTGGTGGAGGTAACCGGAGTGCCCGTAAAACACCAGTGAATTTCGGTAGGAATACTGACAAACCTAGTCAAATAAGATTGAAGTCTAACACACCTGCCACGTACGGGGTTCGAACTCACAACCTCAGTCTTGAAGGCTATATCTAGTGATACAGTAGTTGAACGAACTACTTTGACCACTTGGCATCGAGAACCCCCCCCTTTTCCAATCTTTCCCCCCAAAAAATAATTTAATCAGGAGACGGGATAAGATTGCATAATAGACAACTATCTAAACTAGTCAATAACACTGAATGAATCAAACACAATTATAAATGTGTTCAACGGTGGATTCATATTATTCGTAGGGTACTCATTTTTTGTGGATTTCGTGGGTATAGGTAAACCACGAATACAAATGTTAAAAGAAATACAAAATTTCTATAGAGTTGTATGCAGATTATGGCCAAACCCCACAATTAGATATCCCCGAAAATAACTTTCTCCTTCAACTCACGAAAATTTGTATTCACGAAAATACACGAATCCACAGTTTCAACATTTAGTAAAACAAGAAATTGCCAAAGACAAAATTTTGATATAACAGAAGCGAACAACATTCCATTTATTTATGTATTTAAAGGTGCGTTTCCAATCTTGATTGATAAGAATTACCAGGTTTTCTGTCAAAGGTTGGTTGTACTCTCCGGGCACTACGGTTTTCTGCACCAATAAAATATATCCTCCATGATACAGCCAAAAGTGCCGAAAGTGGCGTTAAATACTAAAATTCATCAAACAATCAATATCTTACGCCGATGTTTCTTTTTCTTGATGTTAAGCAGAACAGGATGATAAACGGAGATATGATCTTGCGACCGAAGACGTCTCCGTAAAATATATACGTTGACGAATCTTTTTGTTACATACATGTTACTACAAATATGTACAGAGAGTAAACAGCCTTCGTTTTCTAAACTTAAGTGTACAATACATTTTGTTTAAGTTTACAAATCAAACGATGCTATTATGTTTGATATTAAGCCTTCAAACTCATCCGGGATATATATTTTAATTGAATATGATTGCTCTACATTGAATGTCCCTTTGTACAATCTGAATTACACGAGCCAGAATTTAGCCAAAGCTTTGTTTGTTGGGTTTTTTATTTGCTTCTCAATTTCAGAAATTTGATCCCACTTTTCAAAGGACTCCTTCACTACTATAATTATATTTATAAAACACAAAAATCCATGATATACACAGACAAATGAAATAAAAAACCAAGATGGAGCTAACCTCATTCAGATCATAACGGAAGTCTTCGTCCATTTCAACGCCAAATGTTTGCCAGTATTAATAATATTGTTGATTGCCCAACGTCAAGGGACGTATATTGCATGCAAAGTCAGGACGTACCAGAGCAAACAGCCTGGATGCTGACAAACGTTCCCTAAACAAGCACTGAAAAGAGACCCAACTTTGAATTTCTTTAATTGGTTCCATAAAAATGTTGTTATCCATTTAATATAAAAATTAAAATAATACTAATTTAAAAATGCATTGGTTTTAGATAATCAGCTTAATGCTGATGAGTACAGGTCGTTCTGGGTGAGCTGGAAAGGTGGTCATATTGAGGTTGGACGTGGACTTTCTGTCCGTAGTCTGTCTACACAATACATGGAATGGGTTGACTCTAACCCTCTAGACATCACTGCTGTGTATGTAAAGAGTATCGATGTTGCCGAATTTACGATTTATCGAAAGACAGGTACTTGAAAAGTCACATATCTTTATAAGTAATTTATTTCATTAGAAAACATTTCTGTTGTTACTTTTCATGTCAATCAGATCAATCATAAGAAAATTCTGTTACGTAAAAAAAAAGGGTCTGGATTAGGTTTACAGAATAAAGAATAAAGAGAAGAGAAAATGGGCCAACAATATAAAGAACAGAGATTAATGGATGCCAACATATAAACAATAGAGAATAATTAGCAGAATTCTTCAAGAAAAAATTAAAGAATACAGAAATGAGGACCCCCTAATCCAGACCCTTTTAAAACACTACATGTTTACAGTTTTTTATTTTTCTAATAATTGCTGTATTACCTTTGATAGAATGGTTCAAAGCTTGGTTTAATATCTCTTCAACTGTTTCGGTTCTTATACATCCTTGGCTTTCAAATATTCGGCTTTGAGCGTTCCTGATGAAGGTAATCAAGAAAAGCGCTTCCGAGGCATGAAATTTATAACGTTTTGTTATAATTAATTAGAAGAAAGGATTTCAACTTTGCCATTACAAATAACATTTCACAACTTGTACCGTTTGCTATAATGACTGTGCTCTTAATGATCGTAACCTGGCATTGACCCGGATGTAGCTTTTACAAGGTAATCATGGTAATAGATAGAGTAGACTTTTTTTAAATTGTGACAACGGATACAAAATACCTACCTTATCTTATTGTTATGATGTTAAAAGATCTTTTAAAAAAACACTGAGAATGATATACACATAAATTCAAACTCGGTAAATTCAACAGCAAGGACTACATGTGTGATATACACATAAATTCAAACTCGGTAAATTCAACAGCAAGGACTACATGTGTGATATACACATAAATTCAAACTCGGTAAATTCAACAGCAAGGACTACATGTGTGATATGATAACTAATTCAGTTACGATGGTTCTTTCTTCCGATGGTCTGACGATCTTAAATACCAATAGACCTCCAAATTCATTTAAATTTAATGATGAGACTTCATGAAACTTGGTAGGAGTGATGTTTCAGATTTTACTTTTAGCGGCAGTATCCAGCCTACAACTGTGGCTACCTCAACAAGATTCCCGTAGTAAACAAGCACACTTTTACCCTGTTTTCCAAATTATGTTCCGTTTCTTTTTTCCTTGTTCAAGTTTGTGGTCATTCTGTTGGTCGCTTCATCAAGCAGGTGTTTTTAGTGTGTGTTTTAGTATTATGACATGGTCAAGGTATAATAGGCAAAGAGAGTGATTATGAGCACGTACAACTGGTATAGTTCACCATAGTTTGTGCCTGTACCACGATATCATTTATAAAGCTCGCTGTTGTTTGTTTGTAGAGTGTACTTCTGTTTTTGGTTCGGATAAGTTGCATGCTGGTTGTTGATGTGGTCTGCTGTACTGGCCAGCATCATTAATGATTCATGTTATCCTTTAAAATCATGACAGGTATAATTGCAACACAAATTATTTCATTTATTTCTGGTATCTTATATCATACTGTTTCTGAAATTACAATAGAATATATATGTTGACAAGCACATGGACTAATTCCATTTAGACAACTTACTACGGGATATCGAATCCTAATTTAAACGCCGATGGTGTTTAGTATCGTAGTGGGACATACAAACGTTTTACGTATACTTACTTGTTACTGTCATCTTAGTAAAAATATAAATTAATGTTGAGTTTTCCAAATACAGGATTTTTTATATATGTAAAACTAATCATCAAAGGGTAAAAATTAAGCACCCTGAGAAAAGTGTAACGCCAGGTCCAAGATACGGTAGTAAGCTGAATCTGAATCTGTCACGTGGCTTCCATCACCACGTGACCAAAATGTAGGCATGGTCACTTCCAACACATGTTGAGCGAATGGGTGAAAAAGTTTGATGTTATACTGCTCAAAATATTCGGGAAATTAAAATCTAATTAGTTGGTCACCTTCCTTCAGTCGTACGGGAATTGCGATTACGTACTTACAGAACATAAATTATTTCTATACTACCCTTCTGGACGACGATCCTAAAAATGCTTGAACATTTTAACAATATTAATATCTTAATTCATATTTTTTTCAGAAAACCCAAGAAAATACTCTGCCAATGTAAATAACAGAGCCATTACTTCATTGACACTTACAGTCGTTACCCGATCAAGGTTAGAATGCAGCATTACCTGTCATAAAGAATTGAGCTGTATAAATTTTAATTACAAAAGGTCCACTCGATTGTGTGAATTGATGCAAGCCTCAAAGATAAATGCGATAATGAAAGATCCGGAATACAATTTTTATTTCTAAGACATTGCCTCATTCGGTAAAGTGATTGAGGAACGCCTTTTGTCTTTTTTTATGTCTATTGATTGTAAAAATATTTGTCAATGCTAAAAAAGGTACACATTAAAAGCACGTACTATTTGATTTGTTTTTGTTTTCTTTTACACCTTTATCATGTTTATTTTAGGCAATTGTTTTATCTGTACTTATATCTATATAAATTCTTTATGTATAACTTTTGATAGTCCGCTACACGATATAAGAAAGAACAATTTACAACATTAAAATGTAAACGGAAACGAAAATCACTAGTCTAGCAGTTTACAATTATTAACCTGTATATTTGTTATACTTACCACAACGATGTCTTATATAATTGAAATATCCATATGAATATTGATTAATAACTAATTTAAAGGTTTTTTTTTTTATTTCTGCTTGCCCATAAAGGACAGCCCATTACTTGCCTACTCAAATTTCATCTCTGATTTTGGACAATACTGTAGTCACTGCCACTTTTGAGTGGTGAACAATCATGTACTCACTGTTTCTGTTGACAGGTGAACCATTATCTACTCACTGTCGCAGTTGACAGGTTGACGATTATGTACTCACTGCCGCTGTTGACAGATGAACCATCATGTACTCAGTGCCGCAGTTGACAGGTGGACCATCCTGTAATCACTGCCACTGTTAACAAGTGGACAATCCTGTAATCACTGCCACTGTTGACAGGTATACCATCTTATATTCACTGCAACTGTTGACAATTGTACAATCATGTAATCACTGATTCTGTTGATACGTGGACCATCCTGTACTCACTAATTTTGTTGACAGGTGAACAATCATGTACTCACTGCAGCAGTTGACAGGTGAATCATCATGTACTCACTGCCATAGTTGACAGGTGGACCATCCTGTACTCATTGCTTCTGTTGATAGGGGAACCATTCTGTACTCACTGATACTGTTGCCAGGTGTACAATGTTTTACGCACTTCTAATAAACTCACTGCCACAGTTGACAGGTGAACCATCTTGAACTCATTTTCACTGTTGACAGGTGGACCATCATGTTGCCATTAATACCGCTATTGACATGTGAATAATTCGTTAATAAATGATACTGTTGACAATTACAGATTTGATTACACACTTTAAACACAGATTGTCCCCCTTTGTCAATTGCAGATTGTGTTATATACCGGACAAAATGGGCTGTTGCCCATGCAAAGCCATCTTTGCTAGCCAAGGATTACGATCCAGTTCCATCCTCTAAACCCTTGCCGATACAGGATAGCTTTTTCGGATCCACGAGGTTATGATTTCCATTGGTCGCAGTTGCAACTGGCTGTTTCCAATCAAAAAGCGCCTTTAAGATGATCACGTGTGAATGTATTAAATGTAAATATTGGTGACAATTTTTAAAAGTTCCTAATCAACTAATTGAAGTTCCTGGGTAAGTTTCTCGCGCAAATGTTGAAATGTCGACGTATAATTTCGGTTCCTGCTTCACAAAATTTGTAAACACCAGACAACCATTTTCAGGTAAACGGACAGAAAGTCACAGGACAAAAAGTCACAGGACATAAAGTCACAAATTTGATAGGACAAAAAGTCGCAGGACAAAAAGTCACAAATAATTTGTTGACAATAGTTTGAATATATTAGAGAAAGATCTTGAAACATATTATTTTTACTTCATATATTCATTTTACAGTTTAGGAAATTGTTCATTAGCTTTGATAAATTAAAAATTATTAAATTTTAATGATCTTTAACCATGCAAAGAATATATTTCTTGGCACGATGAAGCCATTTAAGTACCAAGCCATTTTGACATTTTGTTTTCTTAACAATTATTTAATCATTTTTAAGATTTATTAAATACATTTTAATTACAAATTTAAGTTGCTTTAGATATAATAATCCAAGAAAAATACCAAAATATTTTTTTTAAATAAGTGTTTTCTTTTTCAAAGAAAAATAATTTCAAAACTGAATTGTGACTTTTTGTCCTGTGACTTTCTGTCCTACATTCCATTTTTAAACTTCAACACTTAAGAGAGTTTAAGTGCAGCCATTATTGGTCAACAATGATGTAGTAGGAATGGCCGCGACTTTTATTTTCCGGTAGATGGCACAGCATTGTAATCACAAATGTTGGCTTAATATGCCAAGGATGAAGAGGAGGGGACTGGATCGTAACCCTTGTTCTTGTGAAGATGATGCAACGCATGATAAGTTGAAAGTGATATAGTTAAGAGTTAAACCAATTTAAATTACAAAAATAACTATTGATTTAACATTTTTTAATTTAACAGGAGATTAAATATAATGAAAATATTTGAAAAATTAAAGATTTTACACATTTCGCACAGATGAAGTTGGTAATTCCACTAGCAGTCAATGACAAGTCATATCCGTCCAAGAGAAGGAACTCAAAAACGGATCTCTAATTACAGGATCAATTAAGGACTATTGGACAGATGTTCTTACTTAACTACTTTACTGGAGCTCATTAAGAGGATAATGCTTTTGTTCTTTGTTATGTGAATCTTCATGTCCAATACGCCAGACTTCAAATAAAAATATGAAAGCATATATCCATGATATAGAAAATAAGACAGTTGTTCCATTACCTTCTCTGCGGTAGGAACTAATTGCTGTCTTTTGTTCATGATATTTAAATAAGGAGGTGAGTTGCCATTTTTTGTCCAATAACATAGTAGTTAATTAATAATACATGATCATGTTCTTGTTTTCAGAATATAACGCCATTGTATGCACTAACCATGTTGGCAGCTATAAAGATTTTGAATTTTGGAATTGTTACTGTGATGTTGTTATTTCATAGTTGTTCCATACATGTGTCAATCATTTCAAAGGAATTAAAGAAGAATAATTTCTTGGTATTAGCAATGTGGCTTAGTCTCAGCGATATCGCATTGGGACTGGAATTTTGTTATCATAATATTCTACGTTTTATGAATTCACATAGCGTGGCAATCCAGTACCAGTGTATGATGATCACTCACCTTGTTGGAGGAACAATAATGTCTTCCTTTATTCATGTTCTATTAATAAGTCTCGAGCGACTGAATGCTACATTTGTAATAAAGAAAGGACTATTGACACATTTGACCAGTTACAAATCTGTTATACTGTGTTTTATACTTAGTCACTTGTTTGCTTTGTTGAGATTTGGTATACAAACAATTGATGGACCAGAACCGTGCAGCCCTAAAAACACTGCTAGTCCAGGAATTCTGTTGTCACATGACATTCCTGGTCTCGTTATTGTCGTTTTGATAATCACATGTTACGGGGTAACGGTATACCGGATTATCAATTCAAATAAAATTGTTCCACTGACGGCCACCCTGTCTGCAAAGAAAAAAACCGATTCAATACGAATGCGTAAAAACGTAGTAACTCTTGGTTTTATAATGGCACTTGCTTTAATGGTAGTTCTAATGCGATGTTTTGTTGTCACATTGTTATATTTGAACAAAAGCAATGGATCTGATATAAATGATACCGTATTCAAGATTTTCAACAATGTGTTTCTTTTGCTTAATCCCCTACTAGATCCAGTCATTTATGTCTTGAGAATCAAGAAGTACCGTGACCTACTTCGATGTAAATGCCTTAAAGGGAACTCTGATGTGACCAGCTTAGCTTGATGAAAACGTTTGGAATAAAACAATGGTGTTTTTGAGAAGATGACTTTCACAAATCGAAACATGTATAAACACGTTCAGAAAGTACTTTTGACACATACATAACTCAGTATTGACATATTATGATCTTATAAGTTATAGTTTTTTTTGGAGTGGGGCTTTTGAAATGAAAGTCAAGTAATTTCTAATCTGACTGAATAAAAATATGTTCCGTCCTTTCCTGGATTATATTTAACCAGACACGCTCAGATCTGATATATGGAAAATGTTGAAACCTATATGAATTTTAAGTTAAATTGATCGAACGAACAGATCGGGCATGATAAAGAGGAATGCAAAAAAATTCAATTGGGATAGTAAAATAGAAAAAAATGATAAAAATGTTCAAGACGTGGGAAAAATGAAATCTTTCAATTTTAGGGAAGATACTTTTTAGAAAAGCACTAATCTTGCCTTTATTTACATTCTTTGGAAGCGTTTGTTTAATTCCCGAATGTTATCTTAAAGAACTAGAAACACGAAGCTTTAAATATATTTGGGATGGGAAGCCTGACAAAGTAAAAAGAAACCTGATAATACGTCCATATGAAAAAGGGGGTTTACAAATGGTTGATTTTAAAAGTTATTTTATGTCGCTAAAGGCATCATGGGTATACAAACTTGTTAATGGTAAATTTGCCAACTTGAAGCTTATACCTTTTAAATATCTGAAAGTGTCTAATAACACTTTGTTTATATTCAACATGAATTTAAATGATATAAAACATTTAGAATATTTCAAATGTGTTCCAGAATTTTATAGAGAAGTAATAAAGTCTTGGATTTTGACTGGGGGTGGGCAAACAAAACAACCAGTTACATATTTTGATATAAGAAAGCAAACAATATGGGGGAATAAATTTATTACATTTCATAATAAACCAATTATCTTTGAAAACTGGATTAAGAGTGGTATAATATACTTAAATGACTTTCTGGATGAAACTATGTCATTATCAGAAAACAATATTTAAAAAAAAATTGAAGTGTAAGGTAAACTGGATTGCTGAATTTCATAAATTGAAACAATATATTCCACAAAATTGGATTCACATTGTTAAAAAAAAGAAGAGTCTGTTAAAAGTATAGTAAATGTCCAGAGAAATAAGATCACATAGAAAGATCGTTATTTTGAGACTGCATGTTTTTCAAATAAAATGTTATATGATTCACTAGTGAGAAATAAAAAAGAATCGTCAATAGGGATCAACAAGTGAATTAAAGTTCTACCAATGCAAGAAGCTCCAAATATGAGTTCATTGTATAACTTTATTTTAAAACATTTAACTGAAAATAAATTAAAAATGTTCAGATGGAAATTGCTACAGTTCATCGTACCAACAAAAAAGCTTTTATCACAATGGAAAATAACTAACAATAATATGTGTAAATTTTGTAACCTAGAAGATGACTATGATCACTATTGTTTTTAATTGTTCTTATTTGACAAGATTTTGGCAACAAATATATGATCT